CTCTTCCCAATTCCAGATTGCATCTTCATCCACTTCCACGTCTCTACTCACGATGACTTTCTCGGTGTTTAGGTTATAAATCCTGTAACCTTTTGACTTTGAGTCATAACCAATAAAGATTCCTTTTTCTGACTTTTCATCAAGCTTGCTTCTTTTCTGGGACGGGATGTGAACGTAGCAAACTGAACCAAATACTTTTAAATGTTTTGATGTTGGCCTTTTCCCATTCCAGGCTTCAATTGGAGTTTTCTCATGAACCGCCTTAGTAGGTAGTCTGTTTAGCAGATATACGGCTGTGTAAACAGCATCCGCCCAAAATTTCTTTGGCATTTTCTTTTTTGCGAGTATGCATCTGGCCATTTCCATGACGGTTCAGTTCTTTCTTTCGGAAACTCCATTTTGCTGAGGCGTGTACGCGACTGTAAGTTGTCGTTCGACGCCTTCATCTTCACAAAATTTATCAAATTCCACCGCAGTATACTCCTTTCCTCGATCAGATCTCAACATTTTCAGCTTGCAACCACTTTGAGTTTTAGCAAGAATTCTAAACTTCTTGAAAATGCTAAAAACTTCTGATTTTTCCTTCATGAAATACACCCAAGTCATCCGACTGAAATCATCAATGAACAAGATGAAATATTTGTTCCTATTAAGAGATGTTGTTCTTTGGGGACCACATACATCTGTATGTACGACCAGGTACTTTCCATATTAGCTCTGTTTAATTTCTCTGAAGGATATTTCCATATCAAGGGGAAGCTTTTATTCTCCACCGCAACTTCAACAATCTTTTTCTTTGCAGGATCTTTTATAGTGCAACAGTCATCCTCAAAGAGAACTGAGTATCCGTTCTTAATCATTTGAGCCACGCTAAGAAAATTCTCAGCAAGATCCGGAACAAGAAGAACATCATTGATATATTTCGTACCTTCATTTGTTTCTACAGCAATAGTACCCTTGCCTAAGGACTTAGAAACAACTCCATTCCCCATACGCACCGGTACTTTGACGGAGTAATCCAACATGCAGAAGATGCTTGAATTATTTGTCATATGATTAGTGCAGCCGCTGTCGATAAACCAAATTTCTTTGTTGCTCGAGGCTGATGTTTGGCGCGCACAAAACAAATAATCTTCATCTATGTTGGTACTTGAGAATTGCGCCTCTGCCTTGGACTCCTTTTGCTTTTGTCTACAATCTTTTTCGACATATTTCATGCAATGTCGACATTGAGGTTTCCCTTTGAAATAGCAATCTTTTTCTGCATGATTTGTCTTCTTACAAGTTCCACAACGAGGAAATTTTCCTTTTGATTGTGGAGCTTGTTTTTTATGATTTTCGCTGGAATCTCCATAACTTTTCTTCTTCCAAGAGTTGTTTTTAGGACCTGATTGCTTTTGTTTATCATTGGACCGGAAGACTTCTTCGGATGAACTTTCTGTTGCTTTTTTGAGTTTTTGATCGTGTAGTTGCAAAGAACTCATCAGCTCTGTAACGCTAAGTTGGGATAAATCCTTTGATTCTTCAATTATAGTGGCAATTGTATTGTACCTCGAGGTCAATGTCGCAAGAATTTTCTGCAAAATTATTGCATCAGAGATGTCTTCTCCGTAAGTTTTCATTTGGTTTACAACTTCAAGTAATCTAGAAGTGTAAACCTTTGTATCTTCATTCTCCTTCATTTTCATATTTTCAAAATCTTTTCTTAGATAATTTAGGCGAGCGGTTCTTACTCTCTCATCCCCTTGAAACTCCTCCTCAAGGGATTGTCATGCTGATTTTGCAGATAATGCTCGCATAATTCTGGGAAATATGGTGTGTGTGACAGCGTTAAGTATATAGGACAAAGCTTTGGCGTCTTTAAGCTCATCTTCCTTCAACTTCTGTAATTGAGCTTCTGTATACTGGACTCCTTCATCCTTTTGTTGAAAGCCAGTTTCCACTATCTCCCATAGTGCGTTCGCTTTTACGAAGAGCTTCATTTTAATGCACCAGTATTCATAATTTTCTCCATCAAAGACAGGAGGTGCTGGTGTAGAGAATGTTATTGCAGATGTACCAGCCATTCTTGCAAACTGGATGGATTTTCTGGCCCTTAAGATCCTTGTTGCTCTGATACCACTTGTTAGAAATAGATAATTCTAAGAAGGGTGAAAACAGAGAGGAAAGCTTTATTCTTTTTATTTCATGAAAGGATAATCACACCAAACTCAACTGGAACAATATTTATAGTCGATGTGAAGTATTTCAGAGGTCTCTTACAACCTAACATCTTCTTAACTGATGCAAAGCTTTAAATGAAAGAGTTAAAACAGGTGAAGAACTAAATGTGGGGACACAAAAGGTCTCGTGCGTCAACAATATCCAAGTACGCCGGTATATGCTTGTTGATAATTATTGGTGACGGATTTCCGATGGCGACGAAAAATTTTAGCGACAGATTTTATCGTTAGTAATAATAACAGATTAACGACGGATATGAAAATGTTTACGATGGAACTGGTTTGCTACGGATTACCGTTGGAAATCATAGCAACCGATTAAAGACAGAATATACAACATTTTTTAGTGACTAATTTCGTCTATGTCGTCGGCAAATAGCATTTTTATTTTTAAAAATATAATTACATTAAAATCCACGGTAACCATCAAGTAACGGTAACCATCACTGACTAAAATATATTTCTATTGAATACTTGAAATAACTTTATTGGTGTGGTAATATGGATCAAGTAACAAATTCGTGAGTGCAACTACTTGTGTTGTGTTGTTCTATCATATCCATCACTATAAAAAAATAGCATATTTTTTTAATAATATAATTATTCTTATAAATAACAGCCGAATGGAAAAAAATAATTTTACCTACAATGAACAAGCACACAAATGTTAAGTCAATTGCAACATTTCGAGCAGAGGAAATGTTTAAAGTAAATTTCACGAATCTTTCATCGTACAGGTGCCAAAAGGATTAATGACCTAAGAGGGTAATAAAGTTTTAATTTTGTCTATATTAGGTTCTTAAAGTTTTTTTTGTACATATTACACTACTATGATTGTTATAACCGTTTAAAAAGGGTAATGAAGTTTTAATTTTGTCCACACCAAGTCCTTAAGGTTTTTTTTGTACATATTATACCAACATGATTGTTATAACCGTTTAAAGAAGGGGTAATAAAGTTTTAATTTTATCTACATTAGGTCCCTATTTTTAATATTTTTATCATTTCGCCTAACTATTTTACAATTTATATTAGTATCTAGTTAGATGGTTTCATCATTTCATCTTCTCATTTTAGTCGTCTATTCACCACAACCATGGTTTCAATTAAAAGGTTACATAACAACTTTTTTGTAATTTTTACAAAAAAAAAAACTAATAATAATCAAAGTCTTAATGATTAAGGCTATGTTTGACACGTCACAGCTAGCTGATAAACTAGTTTATTTTATGATATTTTTTAAGTTGTCATGTTTGGCAAACCAAAAAGTAGCTTATAAGCTAGTGTTTTAAAAAGAGACTTAAACTAGTTTTTTAAAAGTTTTTTTAAAAAATTTCCAAATATACCCCATAATTAATTAAGCAAACATATTTTTTAAATGCCATTTTATGTCATTATATAAATTTTTAGATAGCTTATAAGGCAGTGGTGGAACCAAAGTCAAAGTAAAAGAGAATCCCCGAAAAGTAATGGAGTATCCCGATAAATAATGGTTCCGCCAATGGGGTATCCCCGATACACCATTACTTATCGGGGAAACCCTATTACTTGTCGGGGATACTTTTTTACTTTGACTCTGGCTCCGCCACTGCTTATAAGTTATCTGAAATTTATATAAAGACATAAAAGGACATTTAAAAAATATGTTTTCTTAATTAGTTAAGGGGTAAATTGTAAGAGAGTTAGATGAAATGATAAAAATATTATAAATAGGGTCCTAGTGTGGACAAAATTAAAACCTTATTACCTTCTTTTTAAACGGTTATAACAACCATGTTGATGTAATATATACAAAAAAGACCTTAAGGACCTAATGTTGACAAAACTAAAACTTTATTACCCCTTTTAAACGGTTATAACAACCATGTTAGTGTAATATGTATAAAAAAAAACATTAAGGACCTAATCTGGACAACGTTAAAACTTTATTACCCTCCTAGGTCATTAACCCGGTGCCAAAATGAATCTTTAGTCCCTATCTTCAAAATTTAACTCTGACCATCCTGATAAGTTTAAAAGTTGCATGCTTTGTCCCTGCGGTTAATGGTGTCAAGTTTCTACTGTTAAACCATGGTAAAATGACATATTTACCATTATTTTTAGAATTATAATTATTTAAAAAAATACAAAACAAAAAAACTTCTTCCACTTGTCAACTTCACAAAACTTGTTCTGGGATCAAAGTTTTGCCTTTCAGCTGCTTTCCTGATTATACATTTCGATTTCATAACAGTGAGTTCGATCTCGTTTCATCAGAAGACCATGAAATGTTCGAGTTCATGCCCACAAAAGTCAACCCCAAATTCTCCATTAAGGGAGCCGGTGTTGAGTTGTTTGAACTACATTTTGCTGAGCTTTCGGAGTTCCTGAATCAGGTACCACTTCTTTTGTAGCAGATTTGGAAATCAAGAAAAGCCACTTTCTTAAACCTTAACAATTAAAATCTTACATCCCACATTCCTACCCTCACAACCAAGGCAACAAATCTTGTTACAGACCCAGCTCGTTAAATTTCCATTTCTTCATGTTTTTGTTCTTGAAGAAAATCAAATTTTATTCTCTTGTTTTTGAAGAACCGCCCCTTCCACTATCGATCTACTGCCAACCACCACCCACCTCCCACCTTCTCCAAGACCAAAGCCAAAAACCAGATTCATGAATACCACAGTCCACAACCAGTGCACAACCGTGAAAAATCAAACAAAATCCCAAATCAAATTAAACCCATAAAATTGATGACTTAATAATCAAAAGGAAATACTTTAAGCTTCTTGAATGTCATATAGAAGAAAAATTGATGAAATCGAAGCTTAAACCATGAAATCGGAACCCAATTAACCATTCAAGAACAGGAAAAAAAGCCCTAACATTAAATTCTCTTACTGGTTCTCTCTCCTCCTCGCCCTCTTCTTCAACATTCTTACTATTCAACCTGCCCCCCCCCCCCCTATCTGTCTTAGCGAGATTTCCAGATGGTGGACCAGACTGAGGATTCTTGAAAGAGAGGTGGACGGTGTAGAGTAAGGAGAGGAAAGCCATAGATGTGAACAGGGATAAAATAGGGAAGTTACTGGTAAGGAGGAGAGAAAGGTAGACCTTGGAAGCAAGGAGAGAGTGATGTGGCACGTCGGAGTCCATTGCAGAGGAGAAAGGCTAGAGGAGGGAGGAAGCGAGGGAGATGTTCTTGGAGTCGATTTCATCGAAGAGATTTTCAATTTCGATTAGATCATCTTTATCAAGTGTGCAACCTAAGAGGATTTGAAGGGCTAATGGGGCTGATTGGATCTTCTCTATAACATTAGTAAAAAGGGGGAAAATGAGGGAGACGGGGGAGTCAATAGATTTAGTGTTTAGTGTTTTTATTTATTTAATGTCTTTCTTTTTATGTTAAAAGACTGAATTACCGTAGGCATGTTGGTCACTTAACGGAAAAACAATCGGTTGACGATATTAGGGACAAAACGCGTAATTTTTAAACATATTAGGGATGGTTCGAGTTAATTTTTTAATATAAGGACTGAACGTGCATATTGACAACTGTACGAGGGACGATTCGTGTAATTTACTCAACTGTTTAAATTACCTTAAACGCATGTCCATTGATATTACCTTATTTATGCATATATATTTTGGTCAATATTTTAATAAAACAAGTTATGATTTGATACATTTAAAGATAAAATGTAACATTCCGAAAATCATGGCATAAAAATATTTTTTTTTAGATTAATAAATAGCTAGTACAGATTATTTCCATAAAACTAAGGTAACCAATATTTAGCAAAACATCATCAAATAAGAGTAATTCACCGAATGCGGAACACACGTGGTGTGTGCTCTACAATCATCCCGAGTTTACCCATTTGAAAACCGGAGTACCTGAAACGTAAACTGAAACCCGTAGCACAAAGCTTAGTGAGTTCCCCAAAATACCATACAACATACAACCACAGATTATCATGCAACATACATATAGTTGTCATGGGCTCCGCCCATAGTCTTTATCTGGAATGCCATGGGCTCCTCCCATGGTCTTTACCTGGAATGCCATGGGCTCACCCCATGGTCTAATATCCAAGTGCCAGAGGCAACCCACGGGGTCTTTCATGCAAGTATCACACAGACAACTAGCATACCACATAACATGTAATGGGCCGACATTGGTGCCTTCGACCCATGGATATAGTGAGAAGACTCACCTCGCACTGCCGAATCAAACAGAAAATCCCTGGCTGCTGGCCGATAGAACCCCGACCTATCAAAGTCAAAACATACCCCAATCAACAACTGTGTTCCAATCCATAACCATAAATCCATTACTAGGGTAAATGACTTGTTTTCCCCTCACTAACTTTTGGACCAAGACTTAGACTCAAACCTAATAATCCATAAGGCCCAAAGACCAAAACTACCCAAGGCCCAATCCATGGACCAATTTTCCAAATCGGGCATAGTGGGCCTCCACAAATAAATATCAACCCTAAACCTGATGGCCCAACATGGCCCAAAACATAAAAGCCCAAATGATGGCCCAAACCGAAGCCCAAAAACCGAAATCCCACTCTGTTGAGTACGCGGGGCGTACTCAGCTTATACGTTAAGCGTAATGGCTTAAGAGCTTGTACGTTGTGCGTACAGGCTTGTACGCCCAACGTACTTCTCCTGATGACCAACTCTCAATTCTAGCTCTTAATCCATTAAGCTAAGACGTCCAAAACCTCAGAATAGCTAAATATAAGTGACTTGATCCATAAAGTCGAAGGCGTTAAGCCTTTGCATGGCTTAATGAAGCCCAATCACCCAAAGAGGAACTCAAAAAGGTCAAAATCACTCCAAAAATGTCTTAAATGTTCTTAATACTTTAAGACCTCAGTCCAAACTTCCAGATCTGATTTCAAGGGACTTCTTAAGTCAAAACGTTTCCAATTTTATGACTTAGCATAACTCAATAGGACCTAAATCAAAACCCTAAGTCCCAAAATTCATCAAATGACTACCAAATCATGCATGGAATGTTTATACCAATCAAGATCCAAACTTTATGACTCCATAACCTCAACAAGGACCAAATATGAAGCTCAAAGGTTATGGAGTAACTTATACTCATAAGAACCACCTCAAAGGGACCAAAACCATAACAAAATACCACTTAGCTAGATCTACATGAAAGAGTTGTCAAGGTTGAGAATTTATACATCCAGAAGATAGATCTAGGTGCACAAAGCCTGGATCCAAAAGCTCCAAGTCAAGCAATGACTCTTCAAGAAGTTCCTTCTTCCTCCTTAAGCACCAAAACACACATAAATCGCTTTGAAGCTCAAAAATCACTTAGATGGGGGCTAAGGGTTGATTTATAGGGTTTAGAGGGATGGAGGCTAAATATATTAGGGTTAGGTTATGAGATAAGGATCTTAAATAGGGTCCAAGACTCTAAAACAGGGTTTGGGCCTGATTGAAGTACGCCAAGCGTACTTCGAATAGCACCTGCGACCATTCTGGTCAGTACGCCCAGCGTACGCCAAGGTACGCCCCGCGTACTGCTCTCTTCACTAACACGCCCCGCGTACCCGGCTAAACCTTAAAACCACCAAACTTCCGAAGGCCATAACTCCTTCGTTATAAGCCCGTTTCCGACGATCCTTATATCCCCTGAAAGGTAACGAGAAGACCTACACTTATATCAACTCATACCATCCTTAAGACCTTCCGAACAAAAATCCAATTTCCACAAAAGCCCGAAATGACACTTTACCGAAATACCCCTAGGCTCCAAAACACGAATCGAGCACCTGGATCACTTCAAATACATCACTTGTGCCCAAATGGGCCTAGATCTCACCTTTTCGAAGGCCCTAATCCTTATAATGACCGGTCTTTGGGACACAACGTCGAATTAGAAATCGATTTGGAACAGGGCATTACAACTCTCCCCCACTTAAATTAGATTTCGTCCTCGAAATCATTCATTACTATCCCCGACATGCCAGACAAAGCAATACGTCTACAATCCTGAGAATACCACAACCTTCCCAAGGCAACCAAAACCAAACCCAACATAACTCTCCAAATCCGAAGAAAAACGAATCCTTAATCTCTTGCAGAAGACCACATCTACCCTTCCAAAACCTGAAATCTCAAATTGGTCTGACTCCCCGACCGACCGCTCACACTGAACCACTACCATACCAATTCCACATTGAATTCCAGACAAAACCAAACACTTCCATCCCTTGAGGATTCCATGGGGAGTCCCAAAATCACTGCCCAATATTGTTGCAGAACGTCTATACTTGACAGAAGGCTCAAATAATCATTCACATAGAAGAGTTCTCCCTGCAATGTTTAGACTGGAATGAGAGTTGCATAACAGAGTCCAATCAACCACTATGAGATTATTTAATCCAACTGCAAGTGACTTAACATATACCCCAAATAACATACGATTCCAAACACGAATCCCAAATCACTAAAACCACTCCGATTCTTCTTACTACCCCCTACCTACTTTCCAAAAGCAATCGAGACCTCCCTGGTCCCAAATTGTCTGCTAATTATCTGGGACACTGGAATCCTGCCCGGTTGCTGAGTCAAAAGACACACATACACCATCGCCCCACGCGACTCTCGAGAGAAACATTATCTGGGATAATTGCCCAAACCATCTCGCCACCAAATCCACTGCTAAAAGAATGCTACATGCCCAACTATAGTATCATATCATACCCGGTCTCCAACGACCTGCCATTTCCTGATTCCAAACATGCTGTGGCCCAACCACAGATAGAACCATACGAAGACACAAACACAAAGGCTTGATCTAACATCACAACTAAATCCGTTTCGTTACCCTTGAACCCTGTGATTGATGCCCTCGACATAAAGATATCCCAATTCTTATTCCGCTGAAACAAAAATCATTCACATTAACACTCGTGATACCCAAATCGAGATCTCACCCAAAAACCAACTCGATACTCAATTCATAACCTGAGATCCACGAATCTGCACTTGCATTTCACTAAAACCTTGATTCACGACAACCCCTCACTATACCGAGATATAAAAGTTCCTAAAAGTCCAAATAATGAGGCTACCCAACCTATAAACCCATCTGCGTCACACACTGAACACCCACTTAACCCTATAACTCAAGATTCAAAACCTGTATCCAACGGTCTCCACCAGATCTCAATTGAGTCGCATCAATCACACGGCCTCGCTCACGGGTTCCACCTAACAAGAGCTACATGGGTCCGAATCTGCCTTGGACCTCAATGGTCCTCAATATAGAACAGAGAAATACTCCTCGACAATCTTGACCGGTATGCACAAGGCACGAACTGATTTCCCCTTTGCACTCATGACCATCTCCAACGATAGTCTACCTCGAACTGGTGAATGATACTATCCCATCACAGTCTTACAACACTTATAACCAACCATGGTTACCACCCATTGCCTTACCACACCCTAAACATCACAATCCCATGCATCCTGAGCTGAAACCTGCATCTAACTACATCTCATCAGATGTTCGGGACATACTTCGAATTCTGAAGCCCTCAACTTGGACTCAATCACAAACATGCTATGCACAATAAAGGAGACGCCAACCAGCGGTTGGAAGTTTCTTGAATTCCCACTTACAAAACCTCAATCTAAACGGTCACTCGGGGCATCTCTCCTCCTGGCCAGGATGTGAAACTTGCCCTAGTTCCACACCCTTCAATTCCAAACTCTCGGAAATCTTGACCGATTCTTCCCCACTTGGATTCGACAAAGCTCTTTCATCTCTTAAATCCTGATGGATTTCCCAACTCATCAACCTTATATAGCACGAACCACCTATGACATGTTTTAATCAATACTAGTGTTCCATTGCTAGCCAACTCCATGATCACCCAAATCCTGAAACCCTGAAGAATACTCTTGAAACCTTAACCAATCTGATATTCCAAATCACCTCCCATGATACCAATTCCCGAGTTCTTATGTTGGCGACTAAAACTATAACCCTTGCTCTGAACCTACGAATCTTTATCCTAACTTCCAATCTCAAACAATCATTAAATTCTAATTGACTACAACCCATGCGAATATAAAGCTCCTTTAACACTTCCAATGACCAAACAGCTCAA